TGTGCCTTGTTTGTGTAAGCCGCCCTGAGTCCCCCCGGGTGAGAAGGGCGGGGTATAAGCAACCGTAATAAACAAATAATAAAAATAATTGTCTTTGGTGATCCCTGTGAGAACCCCTTGCAATCCCCAGGTTGCGAAATGCTACACTGGGATGTCTGTGGTGGAGGAAAAACAGATAGGATGATATGATCCTCTTATGAAAGCCTTCACTTGGGTGGTGGGCAGGATGGTGTTTGTGGAGGACATTGGTAGAGCTCTTGGACATGTTTATGGCGCTTACTATAACCTGCAGTGTCATTGGAGGGAGGGTCTTTGGTGTCTCCTGAGTAGTAGGAGCTATAGCTGTTTGTGGAGGCAGAAGGTTGTCTATGTAAGTGGTACACACATACATATTTACACATTTATTATGTGTATAGATAGATTCATATTCTTCTTGTTATTTCCCTTTGCAGGGGGACTCGGGAGGCCCGATGGTTTGCAATGGCGTAGTGCATGGGATCGTGTCCTTTGGCTACAGTTCCCCACCCGGGGTTTACTCTCGCGTTGCACATTTCCTGCCTTGGATCCAGAAGGTCATGGAGTCGGATCCCTGAGAAGGTCCCGACTCTTGGGCTCTTTCGTGCCCATGTTGCGTCTCCCGCTCATTCGGCTCTATTTCAATGCCTTCACTTCTTCCACTGTGCTTGCCTTTTGAAGAAATTATATAGGAACAAACAGCCTGAAGAATGTTAGACTATAGAATCCATAGAATTCTATAATTCTTAGAATATTTGTTATAGAATAGAGTTGGAAGGGACTCCCAAAAGGCCATCTAGTCCAACCTCATTCTGCAACATAGGAAGACACCATCCGATCCCTCCCAACAGATGGCCATCCAACCTCATTAGCAGATTCATTGGGAAATTGGGATATAGAATCCTACAGCTAGACGGAGCCCCATTGGCCATCCTGTCCAACTCCATTTTGCAACACAGGAAGACACCATCCGATTCCTCCCAACAGATGGCCATCCAACCTTATAGATATTAGCAGATTCATTGGGAATTTGGGATATAGAATTCTAGAGCTAAAAGGAGCCCCATTGGCCATCCAGTCCAACTCCATTTTGCAACACAGGAAGACACCATCCGATCCCTCCCAACAGATGGCCATCCATAGATATTAGCAGATTCATCAGGAAATTGGGATATAGAATCCTAGAGCTAGATGGAGCCCCATTGGCCGTCCTGTCCAACTCCATTATGCAACACAGGAAGACACCATCTGATCCCTCCCAACAGATGGCCATCCAACCTTATAGATATTAGCAGATTCATGGGGAAATTGGGATATAGAATCCTAGAGTTAGAAGGAGCCCCACTGGCCATCCAGTCCAACTCCATTTTGCAACACAGGAACTCACCATCCGATCCCTTCCGACAGATGACCATCCAACCTCATAGATATTAGCAGATTCATGGGGAAATTAGGATATAGAATCCTAGAGTTAAAAGGAGACCCAAGGGCCATCTAGTCCAACTCCATTATGCAGCACAGGAAGTCACCATCTGATCCCTCCTGACAGGAGGCCATCCAACCTCGGCTTCAAAACCACCAGAGAAGGAGACTCAACCAGACTTCCAGGCAGTGCATTCCACAGTGATGTGTTTCCCAAGAGTCTCTCAATTCTGTCCCCTTCTTAACAAACTCCTTTCCACGCTTCTGTTTTGCACCATATTAGAAATAAATGTCTTTGGCAGCAAATGAAACCCAGTTGTGGTCATTGAAGCTTTTCTCTACTGGAACCTTGGAATAATAATAATTATTATTATTATTATTATTATTATTCCATCATCATACCATAATAATAACAATAATAATTCAATCATATTAATGATGATAATTTTATTACCCGCCTCTCCATGCCTTGCCCATCATGCCAATCCCAAAGTCACATTTGTCACATAGAAAATTGTGACTTGCAAGCACTGCTCACAATACTTTCATTAGCAAGCCTTACGAAACAAGTCCAAAAGCAGATAAGGCCATCGGTGGAGTTCTGGCGAACCCCATCTTGATACAGAGGAGTGTTTTGCCAAGCTAATGGCCCTTGATTGCTCATTCCATCTTGACAGATGGCCTTCCAATCCAATCCCCTTCTGCCACTAAGGAAGACACCATCCAATCCCTCCCGACAGATTGCCATCCAGTCCAACCCCCTTCTGCTATTAAGGAAGGCACATTCAATCCTTCCCAACAAATGGCCATCCAGTCCGACACGCTTCTGATGTTAAGAAAGGTACCATCCAATCCCTCCCAACAGATGACCATCCAGTCCGACCCCCTTCTGCTGTTAAGAATGGTAGTATCCAATCCCTCCCAACAGATGACCATCCAGTCCGACCCTCTTCTGACATTAAGAGAGCACCACCCAATCCCTCCCGACAGATGGCCATCCAGTCCGATCCCCTTCCTCCATTAAGGAAGGCACTATCCAATCCCTCCCAACAGATGGCCATCT